TTTACACATATGGTTGAAGTGGGATTTGAAACAGGCAGCCAGAAGAAAGAGCTCAGATCTTTCTTCTTTAATGTTGTTCTGCCTCCTATCAGCTACATGGTGCTTTAAAAATGATATTAACTACTGTACATTCATTTATACTGTCACATTTAAATAACTCCATTTGTAATCATTCTGTATAAATGATTGAGGAATATCTAAATAAAAACTCTCATCCATTTGATTTTACTCAGTGAGCAATGTTGCTGCTCTTCTCTATGTATTGACTAGCTTATGAAAACATTACTGTGTGTGTGCATATCAGTCAGTGAGAGTCTTCAATTGCAGGCAACAGAAACAGACTCTGGATATTTTCAGAAAATTAGGAGTGACCAGGAATACTGGAGAGTCAGGCTCAAGCTGTGCTTCAGTCCCTATGAAGAACTGGTCAGGTGAGGACACCACTGCAGCTTCTGCTAAGGACTCAGGCTGCAGATTGTTGCCCCAAGTGCTATCATGCCTCATGCTGGACACTGAGGACACTAACATCAGCCCCACTGCCCCAGGCACTTTATCCTACTGCTCCAAAAATCCTGCTAGAATCTGTGCTGCAATTTTATTGGGTGTATTTGATTCTAATTTCCTTTGATTGCCCCTATTGGCTGGGATGAGCAGATCCAGGAGCATCCATTCGGACTTTCTCACATAATAGCCCAATTTCATTGATGAAGGAGCTAATGTGGAGCTAATTTTGGCAGTAAATATATTTCAATTATAGATCTGGGCAGTATTGAGCTCACAATAAGGTAAAATTAAGTAAAAATTCTGCTTATCTTGTACCTGTAAGCATTTTCCCTGATTGGTGGACTATAGTGGACTTTCAAAGGTGAATGTAGTTCAGAACAACGTATGTTCAGAAAGTTCTTAATGTGTAAGAACCCCTGAAAGTTCTGGATATGTTTTCTTTATCATTAATAGTTACCTTTAAATGTCCTTAAATCTATTTGGAATAGATGAAGAATGAGAGTCACAGAATGTATATGTGATATTATTGCAAGACTCTTACTCAAGGCCATAGCCTCTCCTTAATCCAAAGGACTCTGAATTTATGAATTGACTTGGGTCTGAGAATGAAGGGAGGAGATCTCAGTACATTATATGGTGTTTCAAATCAGGCCTCTGCTCTTTGACCCTAGAGTATGTTGAGTCATACACATTGAATAAAGCCTTACTGATTTGCCCACCCATGGATAACACCTCAAAGATTCCTGTAAGTCAAACATTTTTAGATGTCATTGATTGTCCTATCAAACTTGATGTGGTGCTTTTAGCACATATATGATATCTGCTACTTGGGGCTTTGGTATCATTGAAATTGGGCCTCATTTTAGATGTGGTATCTCCTTTTCATATCCCTGGGCTACAGATGATAGTTACAACAGTACTTCTTTAAATTCTTATGCTCCTTCACCAATTAATTTCTCAATACCATGAAATAGAAGATTCATCTGAGTTCTTTTTAAAATGTATACATGGAAAAATAAAAAAAATAAAATAAAACCCAATAAACAAATGAGCAGAAAGTTACGTAGACACTTCACCAAAAACACCTTATAAGTGGGAAATAAAGACACAACATCATCAGCGAAAATATACATTGAAATGACAATAAAATACCACTGCCTACCTATTTAATGGTAAATAAAATAAAGTAAAATAAAATGTATACATGGGCTACATACATGACATGCACATGATACAGAGCTAAAGATTTAGTGATTTTACTTCTTTCTAAAAAACACTTAGTTTTGTTGATTGTTTTAGTCAGCTTTTTCACTGATCTGACCAAAAGACTTGACAATAAAAACTACAGGAGGAAAATTGTATTTGGGGTTCATGGTTTCAGAGGCCTCAATCCATAGATGGCTGGCTTCATTCCTCAGAACTCAGGTTGAGACAGATCATCAGGGTGGAGGAAAGCAGCTCACCAGAAAGCAGAGAGAACTCTGCTTATCAAGGACAAAATATATTCCCCAAAGGCATGCCCCCAAGGTCCCACCTCCTCCAGCCACACCCGACCAGCCTACAGTTACCACTCAGTTAACACTTATCAGAGGATTAATTCACGGATTGGGTTAAGGCTCTCATAATCCAATCATTTCACCTCTAAACCTTCTCTCATCATCTCACACATGAGCTTTTGAGGGACACCTCACATCTAAACCATACTATTGATATTTTCTATGATTTCTTTCTCTCTTTTAAACTTTTCCTTTTGTTGTGTATTGTTTTCTTGACATCTTGAGTTGTCAAGATGTCAATCAATGTTCTTCTGTAGCTTGTGGAACTTCCTCGAAACCATTATTTTGAATTCCTAGGTCTTCATTTCTTTGTAATCATTCTCTTGAAAATTATTGTTTCTTTAATGTTATCATTTGTTTGGTTTCTTGTTTCTTGTAGCCTTCTGTCCATCAATGTGCAGTTGATGGAGCAGTTGCCCTTTCAGACTTCACTGACTGATTTTGGTGGTTCAGGATCTTCAACTGTGAGTGGGTACAAGGTGATAGCTGGGTGGAGTGTAGCTGTTGCATGGCTGAAATCATGCACTCTGCACAAGGTCTGGCTTATAGGCTCCCAAGTGGTGATGGTGGAATGAATGTTTGATGGGTGAGTGACTGTGTAATAGTCATGCAATTGTGTCTAGGCACCTAAATGTAGAGAATAACTACAGAGCTGGATTTTGGATTATGGGTATACACAGAGCAGCCACAGAGACAGAGTCTGAAGTGCAGTACACACAGATCTGGGAAAAAGTGTAGGGTTGAGTGTGTGGCAGCTCTTTTATTTTTATTATTTTTTTTAATTTTTATTGTTGGTTGTTCAAAGCATTACATAGTTCTTGATATATCATATTTCACACTTTGATTCAAGTGGGTTATGAACTCCGTATACAGATTGCAGAATCAATTCCTGTAATTCATTTCTCCCCCCCTTTTTTTTCCCTTTCCCCTCACTTCCTCTTTTATGTAAATTTGTAAAACCCTGAGGGTCTCCTTCCATTTCCATGCAATTTCCCTTCTCTCTCCCTTTCCCTCCCACCTCTCATCTCTGTTTAATGTTAATCTTCTTCTCATGCTCTTCATCCCTACTCCGTTCTTAGTTACTCTCCTTATATCAAAGAAGACATTTGGCATTTGTTTTTTAGGGATTGGCTAGCTTCATTCAGCATAATATGCTCTAATGCCATCCATTTCCCTGCAAATTCTATGATTTTGTCATTTTTTAATGCAGAGTAATACTCCATTGTGTATAAATGCCACATTTTTTTTTATCCATTCATCTATTGAAGGGCATCTAGGTTGGTTCCACAGTCTTGCTATTGTGAATTGTGCTGCTATGAACATCGATGTAGCAGTGTCCCTGTAGTATGCTCTTTTTAGGTCTTTAGGGAATAGACCGAGAAGGGGAATAGCTGGGTCAAATGGTGGCTCCATTCCCAGCTTTCCAAGAAATCTCCATACTGCTTTCCAAATTGGCTGCACCAATTTGCAGTCCCACCAGCAATGTACAAGTGTACCTTTTTCCCCACATCCTCGCCAGCACTTGTTGTTGTTTGACTTCATAATGGCTGCCAATCTTACTGGAGTGAGATGGTATCTTAGGGTGGTTTTGATTTGCATTTCTCTGACTGCTAGAGATGGTGAGCATTTCTTGACCCCAGGTTGTACTATTCAGATGAGGGTGGGGGTAGAGGAGTGCTCCCTCTCCTGGAGGTCCATAGCAGCAGTGACGGCTGGTTACTTTAGTGGTGAAAGCTGCAGGTGTCCTCTGCAGAGCTGGCTGCTGGGGTCAGTGCCAATGAACATTGTAGGGCCCTCTCCTGTGAAAGCTGTGGAGAGTTCACAGTTGTCCTGGGGACTATTAATGCCTTCAGCAGCAAAGACTATGAAAAGCCTCCTCCAAGCAGGCCACTGGGCACCATGATGACAACCACTGAACGATACAGATAGCGCCCACACTTCTTCCTTGTTTCTCTCCCTCTCCAGACAAATCCACTAAGCCAGTCTCTCCAGTTATCCTTTCTGTGGGGTTATTTTCATTTTTTTTCCTTCCCTTCCCCTTCCTTCTTTCTTATTTATCATTTTTGTTACACTGTGTTACTTTATGCTCTTGACTGAACTGGAGCCTTTCTATGGCTATTTGTGGTAACTGTCTCCTTATTGTTTGGTGTGTGTGTGTGTGTATGTGTGTGTGTGTGTTTGTGTTTAAGGGAAGTGAGGCTAGTATCTCCTACTTAGCCATCCTTCTCCTGATTCTAGAACTCACTGGGATGTCCATAAAATTTTGTTTTTATTCTGATAAAACCACTGTGGTTATAGAAACACATATAATAGAATTTGTTCTCATCCATCGTAAAAACAAATCAAGTGAGTAAAATTCGATTTGTTCAAATACATTTGGAATGTAGGTGATTCCATTTTATATTTCTGAAAAATAGAAAATTACCCCAGGTCTTTTGCCCTGTTACCCAGGGAATAAGTCAGAAGAAAAATAAAACATAAAATGAAGTTAACTCTGAGTTATTTCATGAGAGAATAAAAGAATGATATTTTATAAGAATAAAATAATTCAACCATTTAAGATATTTAAAATGAATAAAATATCTGGCTATTTTGGACTTGATAAAGAATAAATCCACTATAACGGGATCCCCAATCAACATACTGCCATTCAAATTTTAGACAATCTTATAATTTTCTTCCTTCCCTATAGGCAACTGCTATTATGAAAGTCCTATGTTCCAAATAAGTTTGTTATATTTATTACATTTATATGTGCATATGTATTATAATGTTGGAAAATATTTTAAAATTGTGTTATGTTTGTAGTAGAAAAATGGTAAAACAAGGACATATCAGGTAATGAGATAATATTTAAGTTGCTTTGTACTAAAGTTGTGGTTTTTATTAGATGTATTCCACTTCATCCACTTTTATTTATCAACATTCTGTAATTTTCTTTTAAATGTTCAGGGCTCTTTTATTTATCATCTGAGAAATAAACCTATTGCCACTGCCTAGTACTTTCCTAAGGGCTATCTGCATTTCTTTGTTCCTTAGACTGTAGACGATGGGGTTCAGCAGAGGTGTCAGCACTGTGTATGTCACGGCCATCAGCATGTCTTCACGGAAGGAGCTGATGTTTTTTGGTCTAAGGTAGATATAACAAGCAAATCCATAGTGAATGGACACCACAGTGAGGTGAGAGGAACAAGTCGAGAAGGCCTTATACCTCCCCTTTGTAGAAGGCATTTTCAAAACTGTGGACAAAATGAAGATGTAGGATATCAAAATTAAAATAAAGCTGCCCACCAACACGAAGGCAGAGAGCATAAAAATAGCCATTGCATGATAGGAATTGTAATCACAAGCAAGGCTGGCCACGGGTAAGATGTCACAGAAGAAGTGCTGGATGGTGTAAGAGTCACAAAAAGAGAAGTTGAATATAATGATGGTGATGCACAGAGAAACCAAGAATCCAACCATACAAGAAGTCATCATGAGCTGGAAGCAGAAATTTCTTGTCATCAGGATGGGATAATGAAGTGGGTTGTGGATGGCAGTGTAACGGTCATAGGACATGGCAGACAAAATGAAGCAGTTATTGCCTCCCAAGCCAAAGAAGAAAAACATCTGGGTGGCACACTCCCGAAGGGAGAGATGGTCTTGCTCTCTGAGAGCAAGTCCACTAGCATGCGGGGGATGATCACCATCGTGGTACAGGTTTCTGAAAAGGACAGACCAAAGAGGAAAAAGTACATGGGGGTGTGGAGGTTGTGACTGAGCTTGATGGCCACCATTATGGACACATTTGCAAGTAGGATGGTTACATGGGAGGAGAAAATCACTACAAAGAGGAGATTCTGCAGGTTTGGGAAACTGGAAAATCCCCATAGAAGGAATGTGTTTACTGCTGTGTGATTGCCCATCTTCTTGGTGACAGCAACTTTACATGATAGGTGTATATGTGCTTGAGGTCAAGATTCTGAGATGTTCATAAAAAGCTTCTTCTGTATTGATGTCACCTGTACATTAATCTAGAGCAAGTGTTAGACTCATTTTCTCTCTTTCTTTTTGGTTGGAGTCTCACTATGTTGCATGGGCTGGTCTCAAACTTGTGAGCTCAAGCAATCCTCCTGCCTTAGCCTCCCAAGTAGCTGCGACTATAGGCATGTGCCACCATACCAGACTTATGGTAAGACAATTCTTAAGAAAGAGCTGGAAAAGAGGGAGTTAAATATACCTAACTGTAATCAAGGTCAGGAGCTCAAGTGATGATTCTAGTACAGAATCATTACGCCATAGAGAGGGACCAAATATCTTCTTGGATTCTACTCATACAACCTCTTGATCCTTCCCTTCTCCACTTAGGATCTGCATGGAAGAGGGAAAATATGAATAAAATCTCTTTGCTTTCATCCACTGGTTTTGTGATACCATATTTTTCAAATACTTCTTGTAATCTAATGGTACACTGGCACTTGGGATTGAACAAATAAAATAACTCAATCATTTAAGTTACTTAAAATGATGTGGCTAATATTTAAACATTTTTAAGACATCAGTGAAATTTTCTAAAAGAACTTTGATATTGTTCTCAGTGCAATTCTGTTTAAATCAGAGCACCCCACCATCCAGTGGCTTCCAGAGTGATTCCATTGTGAAAATGACTATACCTGATAAATATACTTAACTTGCTACTTCTGCTGGGTTCAGGTCCATGATAATATTTGATGCTTGTAATATACTCTATTAGTAGTTCTTAACAAGTTCTTAAAACACATCAATGATTTTAAAGTTCTTAGGAAATTTTCATCAAAATTCTTTTCAAACAGCCTCCTAAAATATAATGGGCTACCTTGGAGTCAAGTGAATTTGAAGATACTATCTCACTCCAAAATGTCATATTCTGGTCATGATATCTGGATCAACTTTTGAATTTTGGGTAGAATCTCCAGGATATTTTCTAGCTAGTATGCTTGGTAAATGGTCTTTGCATTCCAGACCTGAAAGGAATAAACTCAAATTCCTTAGATCAATTTTTCAAGTCACATTTCTATTTCATTTATTCATCAAACATCAGTTCATGTGGGAGACACAGGCAGGAAACCAATATGATGAATCTCTAAAGAATTTTGATTTTAACTTCTGGCACAAAGATGAAGGGAAAGAAAAATAATAAGAAAGCAGGGGTGGAAAATGGAGGTGTGGGGGAGGGGAGAGAGAGAGGGAGGGAGAAAGAGACACTGTAAATTATAGGATTTACAAAGATTAAGGGAAAAGAAGACAAAAGATGAAACTATATTGTTATTTGAAGAGTTTCTGTTTTCTATGATTTTTGGCTATAGAATAGAATAGAAGTTAATTAGCAACTATTCAGTACTGGTAATGTGCCAGAAAACAGGTTGGGGTTAGGCAACTCTGCCTCACATAATCCTCATATGTCTGTGAAATGGGAATTATCATTTGGATTTACAAAAGATGAAAGTGAGGTATGGAGTATTTAATTGGCTATCAAATGTCATGAATTGACTAATGTCTATGATATGCCATTAGATTAACTGCATGGGAAACACATTAGTACCAGACATGTAGCACCTCTGTCAAATGGGAGTGTATCACTATTGTTGTTTATGCAGTCAGGGAAGCCCTCTCTGAGGATGCAATATACTTAAATGAGAGGCGAATGACAATCTGTAAACAACACATAAAGATTAGGGGAGAGAACATTATAGACACAAGTCTCAGCTACCATAAAGACCTGAAGGTGGGCCACAGGTCTACTCAAGCAATCTTCAACCAAGACTCACACAGCTTCTCTTTGAGACCATTCCACAAAGAGCCTTTCCTCTGAAGGTTCCCAGTCTATTATAGTAACCTTTATAGGAATATCTTTTCCACTCTTATTGTTTGGGTTACCACTTATATTTTTACCACCCTCTAATTTCAGTCTCTATGAAAAAATACTTAAAATTTCTTCTGGAACCTCTCCAACACCAGATTTTCAGTGCAAAATTTTCAAAGCAGAACCAGTCATATCCTTCCTCCTGAGTTTTCTAATTGGGCTATTTGTAGATATTAGAGAGCTATCATGAGCTCTGTTTTTTACTTTTTCTCATCTTTACATCCGTGAAGTCACTTCCAGAATTCCAGATGTCTGGACTCCTTATGTCTGTTTTTTAAATCCCTCTGCTACTGCCTTGAAGCCTCCCTATAAGATGAATTGAGCACCTCCTTCAATGTGTGTCACAAGTCTCTTTCTTACAGGTTCATTTTATGTGACCACACTGACCAGATGCTGGATTCCTAAATATAGGATATATTTGCTCTGTCAACAACAGTGCCTGGCTATATACTGCTGATAGGAGGAAATTCAAATACCCCAGCGGGAGCTTCAGTGCATTTCACAAACTGATAGCAAGATAAATCTCCTGGCTCAGCCTCTACCTGCCCTATGTTTAAGTAGGACAATATGTCCTCTATTTTTCAAATACACCCTGATCCTTTAGATGACTGCTCCTTGGCATATGGTGTTCTCTCTGCCTGCTTCCTTTCCTTCCTTCATTGTACTTTCTATCAGAGTTTTACATGTTTTCCAGGTCCTTGCTTCAATTCATTGGACAGCTCAGTTTCTCTTATTGTCCACTTTTTCTAGGCTCAAAAGGTCTCCTCTATTCTGCTATTTTACTCATTTAGATTTTTGCACAACCTCTTGCCTCCTGTCTAGGAGTGTTCTATATCAAGTCTATCATCATGCTCTATCACTTCATTATAGATGCCTTTTGTGTTCCCTTTGCTCACATGCCATGAAATGCTAATAACTTCTAATCCATATGCATGCTTCAGCTATGCTGTCTCATAGATCCTCATAGCTACCCAAAGATATAAATGCTATTAAGATGGTCTTGTTTGAGATGAAACTGGAGACGTGCTTGATTTGCCAAGGTGACGTGGGCGGTAGGTGCACCTCCAGAGCATACTTGCTGCAGAGTGTTGAGAGTCTGGAGAACCACTTGCATGGCTAATTGATTTTAAGTTTCCACATGTGGACTCACTCTAGCATGGGTTCAAGGTCTCACCTGTCCATCTTCATTTCCTGCTGCCAGCCTCCCCTGTGTGAGAATAGTCTGTTGTTTTCCAAATTCAGGAAGTCAGTTCCTCGTTCTTCTACTTTGCACATCTTGTTTGTCTTACTTAAAATGTTCATTCTGTCTATTTTTTTTTTTTTTGGTCTGATGAAAACCTAACTGTACTGAAAAGATCATTCAAATGTCACTTGCCCTGGGAAGCCTCTCTAACTCTCCCTTGCAGTATTGTCATTTCTTCTTGTTTCCCAACCTATTGTACTGTGATGAGAAAGAAAAAAAAATCAAAAAAGTTTGTTTTCATATCTTGACATCTGTATAAGGTAGGGAAGAGACAGACTAGTTTTAAAATGTTGTATCCTTCATTATATAGTCAAAGTCGGTTAATGTAGATATTTGACTAAGAATTGTGCAATGGCTGTTGGAAAAACAAAGAATCCCATATTCTCCACAAATGCTTCCATTATTTTTACTTAAGTGTATTAGTAAATACTTTTTGACACATAGTAAAGATAGCTGGATGTTCTCCAAATGGATACTTTTTACTTCTGACCTGGTATGTTATTAGTTAACATTGCCATTGACTTTCTTTTCTAAGGCAATTTTCTTTCTTTCTTTATATATGTATATATGCACTCGGCCACTGAGCCCCATCTTCAGCCCTATTGTATTCTATTTAGAGACAGGGTCTCATTGAGTTACATAGCGCCTTGCAGCTGAAGCTGGTTTTCAATTTGTGATCCTCCTGTCTCAGTCTTCTGAACTGCTGGGATTACAGGCGTGTGCCACCGTGCCTGGCTACTTATTTATTTTTATAAGCAGTTTTCTGAGAAATTGGTAGTTTCTTTATTGCTTTGGTTATCTTAGGCAATTTTAAATTGGTGCACAATAATTATACACAAAAGTGGGTTTCATTGTGACATATTCATACATGCACATGACATACTTCAATCAATTTCATTCCCAGTTCCTCCTGTTTTTCCCTAATTTTATCTACTTTACTGATCTTCCTTCTATTTTCATGAGATCCCTCCCTGCCTTTTTCTCTCTGGCTTCTGTAGAAGAGAAACATATAAAATAGCATAAGTACATTAATTTTCTGAGTCTTCTTATTTTGCATAAAATGATATTCTGCAGTTATACCTCCTTTTCTGCAAATGCCATCATTTCATTCTTCTCTATGGATGACTACAATTCTGTTGTGTATATATACCACATTTTCTTTATCCATTCATCTGTTGATGGACACCTAGGTTGGTTCTTTAACTTGGCTATTGTGAATTGTACTGCTGTAAACATGAAATGTACTGCTATAAACATCTCCAAACAGATTTGAAGAATCATATCACTTAGTAATGTGAATGCACGGATTGATGTTTTCCCCATTCTTGCTCAATTGAATGAGTAGTGAAAAACAAACAGGCTGAAAAAAAAGTCTTCAAACTTCAGCATCACTCATACTTATCACAAGCTCTTGATGAGTTCATGGAGAGAAGATTCAAAGATATCAGGGGGTATGTGTAGCTTACACAATCTTCATCAGTGATTTTGGTTAAAGAGTCTTTGATTTTATGATCCTTGTCATATATGCTGATGGTAAATCCTGCTTTGCTCATACTATTCAAGCACAGCAGTGATAGGAGCTTTGTCAGTATGACATTATTTTAATCACTCCAGTGACCCTGGCAGCCACTGGAGAACAAGATGCCTGTAACACTGTGTCAAACTTTCTATTTGTTTTCTCCAAACCTTACCATCTTTATACAGCTGGATTTTGCCATCTTATTCTGTGTTTTCAGTTCTTACAGTCTTTTCCCCATACAATTTTCATCTTTACCATGAAT